TTCCAGACTGTTATTTCTATAAGGCCGTGCTGAACTTTAATGTTAAGATTGCAGGGTGGTAGGACCCTCTGGTGCACTGTTTTACTGGGTGGGCCAGAGGTAGGTCTCTTCGGTAGGCCTGCCCTGCGGTCCATTCTGTTCCCTTGAGTATCAATTGGGCCGCTACATCAGGCCTTCTCATCATGGGTCCGCATCAGGCCCAATTTAATGTAGTTTTCTAGGAAGAGCATTTGCACGGGAGGTTTATTTGAGTCTGTTTTCAATGTTTCTTCGAATCTCCGCTATTTCTAACTCTCAGTTTCGCTATATAGGTAATTATAGTACTTCCATCTTTCTTTACCGTGCGTTCTTGCCCCTGAGGATGACGGATACCGGCGGCCGGTCGAAACACGTGTCGGGTCATCGCCAGCGACCTTATCATCAATAACGCTCTGCGTCAATTTTCCAATTTGTGCTTCACTCTGATTTTGCGCCATAATTGCGCTCGGGGGACTTCATCATTCTTTCGTCTTTTCGTGCTTGTTTCGTCTTGTCTCTTCGCATGATTACAGGTTTCGGCATGTCTGCTTGTGTTGCATTGATTGTGTACTATCACTACAACCGTACACAGTCAGTCCATCAAAAGCTACCCATCAGCTACAAAACCATTTCACCGCTTTAGCCGAGCAGCCTTTCTTCTGAACACGGAGTTCCCAATCAGCCGATATTGCCACCTCGATATTGTATTTCACCTCTGCCCGGATCATGGGGGGGGGGGGTAAGCTGTTCCCCCCTGAGAACTGCCGAATTTCGAAAATTCCAAAGAGTCGCAAGAATAGCATCATGGAGTGTTTCCTCAGCATGAGTGCTGCAGGGCAAAAGTGGCTGTCCTCTGTTGGGAGGTCCAAGGTGAGGCTTTTTCATTGGGGGAACCTTTGCAGTACGCAGAGGGCGCAATTCCGTTGGCCCCTTTGGAACAACTACGGCCAGTGTGTGCCACTGAACAAGAGCACACTGTCAGTTCCCGGCCTTTTTGCCTGCAGATTCCGTCTTCGAACCTGCCGGTGGATCCCCGAGACTGCGCATGGCAGCATCCTCAGCACCCGGACAAATTGGTTTATCTATACGACTACACTACCAAATTGGGATACCAGATGGGGAGGCCACAGGTTGATGTAAACTGGGTGGTGGCTCAGAGGTGGATGGCCATGGAATGGATCGCAGATTCCTTGCCAAGGCTTTCTCAAGCACTTACAGTTTTCTGGAAACAGCTTATGGATCTCACCAACAGTAAACACGCCAGTCTTCTGTGGTTGTTGATGCATTTGGCCCTTCCAGTGGCCACCTGGTGCTCACGCAGGACTGAAAAAGCCGGCCCGCTGTGTACCGTCTGCCCGGGGATGCGCATGGAAGATAGTCGGCACTTTCTGCTGCAGTGTGACCTTGCGCAGCCCTTCTGGAACTGGTGGCGGCACTCCAATGTCCTGGTTCCGGACTGGGACAACCAGGTTGTGCTTTTGGAGATAAATTTACTGTTCAATTCCTTATGCTGCAGTCTTTAGTAACATTAATGATATAGATATAGAAAAAGAGAAAAAGGGAAAAAAAAAAGGGGGCATTGCCAAGTACTCTAGAAGTTTGAAGTCACACCAGACGTTCAGAATAGGCAATAGGCAACTTTAGCAGTTCCCGAAATTATGGTGCAAAAAAGGCGACCCCCCTAAATCTGTCAAGTGCCACTGCTGGTAATGACTGGCGCAAGTTTTAGAGTCTTTAGACCCCCGCTAGACTCTTTGCACATTTCGAAACTCACACCATGACATCCGCACCACTTTGTCTTTTCTTGCCTATTTCAAACTAAAAGTGTGCCACAACCACAGTTTCCCCTCGGGCCCCCGAAAAAAAGAACATGGAAAGATACACCACCATATTTTTTGTTGTTTGTGCATGTGTTCAGTATTGTCACGAGGCCTACATGTGTTCCCTGCAACACAACACACCCTCATTGTGACAGCATCGGACCGGAAAGATAACTTGTATACTTTCATAATAAGAGCCTTGTTAGACACTCCTCGGCGCGTCCTCGGGCCCCGAGGATGAATCCTCGGAAATTTTTGAAGTTTTTGGAGTCGTCGTTCCACTTGTCCTCGGGGAAGCGCTCCAAGGACGAATCCTCGGGGCGGTTCCGTGGCCCGTTTCATAATATTACAGACGGCCGCGGGAGGGTTCGTCCGTCCTCTGGTTCGGGATGTCCGTGATGAGGGTCCATGGTCCAGGAGGTGCATGGCGGCATCGCTTCACGGGCCGTGGAAGTGGACGTCCCGAACGCAGGAAACGGCGGTTTCGAAATTCGAAATTCGAATTCCCACACCTGCATGACAACGCTGACGCGGCGGAGCGGGGCGTTGGTGGGCAGGGCAGGGCACGGCGTGTAGGGTTTCAAATTGGTTGTCCTTGTTTGTTTCCATCGCGTCCCGTACTTGAAGGGTGTGGCGCGACGACAGTCGTCATTGCTGTCGACGCGCGAAACTGACGACCCACACAGTCGGTCTGCGGTGGGCACGTGTGTTCGTGTTTCCGTGGCCACGATGTCGGCGGCGGCGGGACACATCCGTGGGCACATCCCTCGGGAGGGGTTGCAGCGCGCGAATCGCAGGCGTGTCTTGTTTCGGAGTTGGTGTCATTGGAGGCGATCGTGTGGTGGCGGGCTTCGTGTCCAGGTTGGAAGGAAGTGATGGAGGGTGACGGCGATGGCTGTCGTGGAGTGTTGTCGCTGACGGAGAAGACAGCGGTTGCAGCTGTCGCGCTTGCCGTCGTGATCCGCAGCCAGATTGAGAGAGCGGCAGGGACGATGAAGTCCAGGCTTTCCGCGCGTCGGCAGAGGCTGCTCGTGCAGAGGGTGGTGGACGCCCTGGATTGCATCAGCACTTCGGAGGCCGTCTTCCAGCTCTGCGCAGCAATCGGGTGTGGTGTCGTTCCCCGGGTGACGCCTCGATGGTGGATGAAGCGCAAAACAGGGGGCACTTGGGAGGACTTGCGATGCGAGTGAGGACTACTTCCGAGAGAAGCTTCGCATGCCTAGGCGAGTTTTCATGGAGATCAGCGAAGCCTGCGCTCCACATCTCCAAAGACAGGTTACCTTCTACAAGGAACCGCTACAGAGCAGATCGTCGCGTACGCGCTGTGCCGGTGGGCGACAGGAGAGACGTATGACAACAGCACATCGTCGTTCTGCGTGGGGAGAGCCTATGGAATAATCGCGGTGCGCGATGTGACATCCGCGTTGCCTTGGGTGTACGCGGACAAGATATCGTGGCCGATTGGGGTGCGAAAACATGTCGTGCTGCGGGCATTCCTGGACAAGGGCTTCTCGAACTGCCACGAAGCGGTCGATTGCACACACATCTACGTCGACAAACCGGCGAACGTGCCCAGAGAGAACTACTTCGACCGCAAACACCGTTTCTTCGTGGTTGCGCAGGTGGTGGTCGACCTCGATCTGCGCGTTCTGGACGTTTTCATTGGGTATCCAGGGAGCTGCCACGACATCAGGATCATCCAGCTCTCCAGCCTGTCCAAGCGCGCGGAAGATGGGACGCTGTTCCGTGGGCCACCTGTGACGCTGTCGGGCGGGGTGAGAACCAACGGTTACATCATGGGCGACAACGGGTACCCTCCATCGGAATGAGTGGTGGTCCCGTACGGAGGAATCAAAACATCCCGACGAGGAACGATTCGACACGAAGCAGAAGGTCGCCAGAGGGGCTGTGGAGAGAGCGTTCGGCAGGTTGAAGGGCATGTGGAGGCTGTTCCTGCGAACTCACAAAATGAACATGGACACTCTGCCGCAACAGTTTACCGCGGTCTGCATTCTGTACAACATTCTTCTCAATGCAGGGATAGAGTTCGACGAGAATCTGCTACGGGAAGTGGACTGCAATGGTGTGCGGCGACGTGTGGATCTGGGAATTCAACTTCCCCCCAAGCCAGTGAGCAATGCCACTTCAACACACGAGGCGCTCGCGCTCCGACACGCTTTGGCGGAGCGAATGAAACACTCGTGATCCGCAACGTCGCCATCGTCGTCGGCCTTCTCCTGCTGCTTCGTGTGTGCGAACTGCAGACTTCTCTTATCCATCGCGCCATCATCGATTACTTAAACACAATGATGGTCTGTCAACTTCCATCGTCTTCGTGCAGGCAGTTCATATCGTGTACGGTGTCTTCTTTCGCAATTTCCCGCGGTGCATGGACAGTGCACTGTTTTTCGCGATCCTCGATCATCGGGGTGGTTGTTCGTCGTGTCGATGAGTGCTGCAGTCCGTCCATTGTGGCAAGTTCGGTATTTGGGTAGTGTCTTCTTTCCAGGGTAGGTGTCGACGTGCGTCCATCGACAGAGGGGCAGTGGACAGGTCGAGTGGCGGGTTGGGATGTCGGTGAGTGGCATTGGTGACGGCGTCGGGGATGGAGGTCCTGTGTGTGGACGTCGTCGTGCGTTGTTGTTTTTGCTACGTGCAGAGAGGACTTGTCTCATCTTACGAGCGGTGGTCGAAGCTTTCCTATATTTAAGATTTTTTTAACTATGCATTTCTTTCGTGAGATTTTTTTCGGTTCGCGTTCAACACTGTGTATCCTTTTGCATGCGAAGGATCATTCTGTCGTCTGCCGATTTTCGATGTTGTTCGTGGATTCCATTCGAGGTTCTTTGCATTTCGCTTTCGCAATCTCCAACAGAGCGTTGCACATCATGAGGTTCACCTAATCGGCCTTTTCGTAGTGCTGTCTCTGGACGTCCACCTCCCGCTCGAGAATATCACACTGCCTCGTCAGAACCGAGCACTACCATTTGCTCACAGAGTCCACTGTTGTCACCATCAGTTGCCCGTGCTTGTCCATGATGTTTGCAATCGCCTCAAAGGTTTGTTGTCTGACATTTTTCCTTTTTCCATCCCCTCCACCACTCCCGTCGGTAAACGTTGAATCCCGAGTCGATCTCGCCTCGTTGTCCTACCCCTCTCCACCCCCCTCGCTAGGCACCGACTCTTGCCGTCCAGCCGCAGAACCGCACATCTGGACACCCCCCGCCGCTCCCGTGTCCACCAGGTTGGCTGGATGGACGGTGTGATCTGCCTTTGTCATGGCCTCCATCTCCCAGTACACACGCTCATCCATTCGGAAGTCGAAGTCTTTCTCCCTCCATTGCGCAGGCGTTAAAGTGAAGAAATTCTCTTTCCCGGACAAACCCATGAATTTATGAACGCATTTGAACTGCTGATAGAGGTTGTCCCATTTCTTCCCGCAGTCGTCGGCCATCCTGGTTGTCACCCCGGCCTTCACTAGCCTCTTCCCCACGTCATCCCACTTCCACGTTCGTGATTTCATCCGCCCGTAGTTGTGTCCAAGGCCCGCGAGATGCACGTCCTGGTCACATTTAGCTCGGACGAGAGCGATCATATGCTCGACCGACCAAAACTCTCTGCTCTTACTTCCCTCGCCTGCCGACGTGTCTTCTGCACCCTTCTTTCCCTTCCTCCGTGCGCGCGCTTCACTACACTTCTTTGGGGCAGACCGCACTCCCCGTTTCATCCCGACTAGACGGATGTCCATTTCGCCGTCCTCGTCTTCTTCATCATGGTCGTTCGCACCGTCTTCATTTCCGCTATCTTCAGGCTATCCATTGTCGTTGTCGGCGATTGCATCCTCTACGCCGACGTTGATCCTCGCCACACCTCTCGTTATGCCGAACGTCGTCGACTGCCTCAAATGTCGCCGCTGATCTTCCCACACCTGTTGTCCGACAACCTCTGTGGCCGACCACTCCTCGTCTCCTTGCCCGTCTGTCGCATTAGCAGGCCTCGTCGATCTGCACGGTTGTGACCCGGTCGTCCTCGCCCTGGATGCAGCCACACCGACACTGCCAACAGCCCCCACCCGTGCCGAATTCGATCCACGATCGTAGGGCAACCCACGCTAGCGCCCGTCGTCGTTTGGTGGAAGCCCACCTGTCGTCCCCAATGGCCTTGCGTCAAAGCTTGCTGAAGCGGGGCTGACCACAACTGTGCGCCAGACGTCATCACAGCTACCCGGCCTCAGACCGAAGCTGAGGTCGACCGCCCTTGTGTCGTATCCTGCCGGTGCACACCCCTCCAAAAGATCGGTGTACATAGGCGTCGGTGGATGTGTGGTGCTGGGTCCCCATCCAATCTTGCGTGGAACCGCTGCCCAATGGAACCGTGGCGGATGGAGGATCGTCGGTTTCGTCGTCCGTCGGAGGCAATGGTGTCTCCCACGAAGGCAGGTGGCTGTACATCGCGGGGTCGTATGGCCGCCTGCCTCCTTCCGCACACGACAGACGCATTGTTGACGACACCCCCCCCGCCCTGGAAGCCGCCGTCTTCTTGTGGACGTTGTTCATCTTCGTCGATGCCTTCTTCGACGATCGCGGCGTCAATCTTCGACGACGACCACGCCCGACAAAACAGACGTTCAAAATGACAACGATGACTAGCAGCACAACGACGAGCAGCACCAGAGGCAGCCTGCAAAATAGGTCAGCCATGGACTGCAGGGAAAACGAACTCCGCCACTGGCTGAGGCGACACGTGCAAACACACTGGCGGGACGCACATGACAAGAGGACGCATTTGTGCGTGCGGGGACCGTAAGAGGACGGCAGCGATTTCGTAAACATGACCGTTGTGGAGCCCGCCAGCAGCTCAACAACCCGACACAAGCTGGCCGAATACGGTGCAAGGGCCGCCCAGAGGACGAACACGGCCGTCGGCCGAATCGCTGCCAACGGTAAGTTCGTGGAGGCCGTTGGAGAACGTCCAAGTGCTGGAGGAGGGGGGGGGGKGGGGTTTGGGGGCGCGATGTCCGTGTGCAGGCCGCTGGACCACGAATGGACCACCTCGTGTCTCCAATTTCTGTCGTGGAGTCGTTGCCGCCGGCCCGTGATTCGCGGATCCTCGGGCTCCGAAGGACCTCGCGAGGTCCTTTGGGCTCGAGGACGATTTGGCTGGGAAATCCTCGGAGCCCGAGGATTAGTCCTCGGAGCACTTTCACATTTTTTTTGGGAAAATCGGCTCTGAGGATAGGTGTAACGATGACGAACTCCTCGAAATCTCGTCTCGAGGAGTGTCTAACGAAGCCCTAAGGGTGCATTGCCTTGTATACTTTCATAATGAGGGTGTGTTGTGTTCGGGGGAAGACTGCAGGGCTTTCCTGCATTGATATGTTTTTTTTGTTTTTTTTTAAATATTTTATTTTATTTTTATCCTTCTTTTCTCTGTTTTGGGGATATGACAGCTTTGCTCACACCACCTTTGGCCGGGCCCCACTTGTTGCCTGCGCTGCTACAGTGGTGTGCGAAACGCTTTTCGTTTTTTTTTTTTTTTGTTTTTTTTTTTAAATCATCTGAAAGGGACCTATTCGCGGAGGTGATAAGAGCAACTTCCACGAATAGGTACCTGATGGGAGATGGCTCCAATCTATTGCTGGGGAGCTGCACCTGCTGGAAACCGGGTCCAGCGTCCGAATTACAAGTCAGGAACCATTTGTAAGCATGTGTTGTGATGAGCAGAATTGATTGCCCTCTTACGAGGGGATTAACTGCCCATCAAAACCCCCTGAAAAGGGCAGATAGCAAACGACAACCCGTAACCCCCTGAAAATGAGGCTCCTCACCTGTTCTGCCACGTGGGAAAACCTAATCAATTCAAACCAACGCTAATTGTGGCGAAGGGGCTCGTTCGACACTCCTTGGGGCGTCCTCGAGGCCGAAGGAAGTTTCCTTGGGGGTTTTCAAGGAAATTCCCGCCATCGTTCCACCTGTCCTCGGGGACGTCACCCGAGGACATTTCCTTCGAACGATGTCAGACAAGAAAAAAAAAATTAAAAAAAATCAAATGTGTTTGAGGCCTTCAGCCAATAGGGTGCCGCAACGATCCAGATTCTCGGTTGTAACGTCTCTCTACCCATGTGCCCTCTCCTCTCCGTGAAACGCGGATTCCTTTTGCCCAAGGAACCTCGTGAGGTCCAATGGCCAAAAGGAAGAATTGGCCGGGGAATCCTCGGATCCCAAGGAATTTCCTTCGGAGTGTTTTCACGTTTTTTTTTCCGACGGCATCCCCGAGGATAGCTGGAAAGAACAATTCCTCGGGGACTTTAAGCGCCCGAGAAGTGTCAAACGAGCCCCGAAGCCGAAGTCAGATCAACGAAGACCACTCGATTCGATTGAAACGAACGCTTAGTACAGAATGAAGAGCGATCAACTCGAATGAAGAGCGATTATCGCAGTTCTAGCTAATTCAAGAAAAGTACAGCAAAAGCGCCCCCCCTGACAGTTTTTCGAACAGGCCAGATCAAATACTCGAGGGAGGCTCAGCCTCTTCACAAGCGAAGAGGGGCTCACAAAAACCCTCCACGGTATCCCTTCCACATGGCGGCTACCCTAAAGCATCCCTAAAGCATCATCAGCCCGTCATCAGCCCTCCACCCCCAAGACCACATGACGAAGGGGAGGCGTGAGGAAGCAGAGAAAGGTACGCTAACCAGTTGGAGATTCATCAAAAACATTTGAAATTTGATGGGACAACGCAAGCCCAGGCAATCACTTGAGTCTAGTTCTCCATAATAACTCATTAGAAGGGCTCCCATCCCGCTCCAGTATCAAAACACGGCCCAAACGGGACGAACTCAAAGGCAGGAAACCCCCCATGTGATGAACCGCCAAGTCTCCTGCCCACGCCCGATCAACCAAATCGCATGAGAATGCCCTGCAGATGATCATTGGAAGAGGCGCCAGTGCAGGACTCCACCCTTCACAGCTGATTGGATGGTAGCTGGCAATTTCGTGAATGACGGCACTTCTGGATGATGGGTGGGTGTCACAGCCGCCGGCCCCATTTTGTGAGTCATTGTTCTACCTCGCAAGAGAGTAACCGAGAGCTTGAAAAGCTCACCGAATCTGTGAGATGTCTTCTTGATACCCACGTGAGCTCGCGTTGTCGTTTGTGGACACAGCCCGAGTATTAAACACCTCGGTTTCATTAGATAATCCCCTAGCACACACCGGAGGATTCTGTTGACAAGAAGGCACTCCCGATTTAAGAGATGGCTCCGTAAAGCGCGCGGGAGTGGAGTCCCAGGTCGGAACTGAGATCTCCGGTGCTGAGTTTCAAGGACAGAAATGCAAGTGGTTCTCAGTGGGGCCAGGTCTTGGGTTTTCCCTTTCTCAGCATTGAGCGGCTAACTTCGCCGGTCCCGCCGCCTAGGGCGGGCCCACACTTGGTGTACCGATGGAACACAGTGGGTGTCTCGTTGTTCAAACCTCTCTCTCTCTC